CACACTTACAGATGTCTCTTTCCCAATGCAAGTCAATTCGAATAGGCTTGTTGCTGCTTCTTGTCTCTATGCTAAGCTAAGCTAACCCTCAACAATAAAAGGGCTGATATCCACCAGATAAACTGTATTGTGGTTGATGCATTGCATTTCTGTTAAATTCTTTGTATGTGAGTGTGTGTTTTGTGATGTATTGTGTTATAATGAATAGTATGAGACATTTCCAGTGAGATTACACATTTGAAAGAGTGAAAAGCATCACTGTGAGGTAGGTTTTAGTCCAAGGACTTTGCTCCTGACTCATCAATTTGTGCTTTAAAACTCACACAGGGAGACATCAAAGAGGCAGAGATAACAACATTTCTACCAAGAGGAACTTGAATAGACCGGAGAGTATAAAGGGTTACACTTCCTTTGTTTTTAAACTGGAAACCACTCTCTGGTAACTAGACGCAAAGCCTGCTAACAATCACACAAAACATCTGAAGAAAAAAGTAGCAGTTGGATTCCTTTCAGTGTCCAGGTGTGGATTCATTTTTATTTTATTGAACCTGATTACTAAATGTGCCTTTTGAGTGCTTTCACAATCAGTCATTTATGACAATTAAAAAGAAGCAAACAGAATAAAGGATAAGGTCGGTGATATTCTTTTTCTTATCATGAACAAACCCCCTGAAAAGCCAACAAAACCAACAGTTAATTAATGATAATAAACAATATATATACACTCAGGTTGCCAAAACCTCTTGGGAACATTTAATACTTTTTGCACATTATCAAGTTGTTTCACTTTATGGCATGTTCAGTTTGACCTTTTACTCCTGTTAAAGTGGTATTTGCATAAAAACGACTGCGTTTTAAGATACAAATGCACAAGAAAAAGTTGTCTGCCACTAAGGTTAGGTAATCTACAGTCTCCAACTCTCCAGAACAAAGGGACACAGCGATCAAACCTGAATAAAACCCTGAATAAAGCAGATGTCTCGTGTCTCTCTGATGCTGTTCGGTTTAAGCTAACATTTGCTCAGCTTGTTTCTTAAGAATATGTGTCCTCGATGATGTTTGGCTGTCGCTAACCTTTACTTTAAGATCAAGACGTTTAATGCCTAAAAATCCATCAACAGGTTAAAATATTGAGTTCAAAACGAGCCAAATCTAAAAAGTGTACGGTAAAAATGTGGGTTAAAACTAGATAAAAAGTCAATTGATGACGACTAGTGGCAGACAACGCTGACGCATTCCTGCCAGCCATTGCTAACGTTAGCTTAGCGTAGTATTTCTGATAGTATCCTGTTGTTCAGAGGGTTTTTACCCAGAGCTGAATTGTCTGTTAAAGTCTCCTTAGCTCAAAAACAAAGATACCCTGGCATTAAAACTCAAATTAAAATCAGTTTCATGCTAAAAATCTGTGTTTCTCTGATGCTGTTTGGCTGCCGCTAACGTTTGCTCAGCTTGTTTCTCTGTTAGACGTTCAAGACGTTTGATAACTAAAATCCAGTCATTGGAGAGTTAAAAACAACAAAGATCTAAAATGTATATGGTAAAGTCAGGCTTAAAACAGGGTAAAAAGTATATTCAAACAACATCTGGCAAACAACGCTAACACATGCTCGAAGGGGATAAAAAGCAATCACAAGAAACCAGAGGAAACACACCATTACTTTGATTGAATTACAGATATGTCTCGGGTTAAAACCTGTTGCAAACATTTGTGATAATGTTAGCACACAATTCGTCGAGACAGTTTAATTCGGAAATGTTACAGATACTTTTAGGTATTCAGTAAAAACAAATGGATGTGTTGCTTTATCTTAAAGACAACTTCAGGAAACTGCAGATATCAAACAGGTATCACCTCTCGTTTGGCATTCCAATAATTGCAAATTACGTCAGCTCACAATGGTAACCAACATAACTAACTAAATGTTTGGAGGACACCAAAATGACTATGTTTAGTTGCCAAAAATTGATAAAATCGTCTTGTTTTTTGTAGTTTTCTAGGTAAATGTGCTGCCATAAAATAATTTTTGTACTTTTCTCTGTCGTCTCTGTGCGCTGTAAGCACAGAGCGCGTCCATTCGGTGGTTAAGGCAATTGATTACTTCAAAGGACAGGAATAGACATGATTTGTGTGACACATATTGGAAATTCACTCACTCAGGCTCTGTGTGGGCGGGCATGTTGCCGCCATGTTGATTCTACAATAAATCACAAATGGATGTTGTAATGTTAGAAACTTCCTCTGGGAATACTACTTTCTTTCCCTTGTTTTAATGGAACAAGACAGCTTCTTCTAGCTGCCAACAAAACATTTGAAAAGGAAACCACACGAAATAAATATATCAGGTAAATGGTTTTAAGCAAAGTTTGAATAGTCCACACTCTTTGTTCACTCTTCTTTTGTCTCAGCAGGCATGCGGTGATGCATCTTCAGATAAAATATTATAAACAAATATATACACTTGGTAATATAGCTGTCTAAAACAATTCTCTCAATAAATGTAAAGTTACTGTAAACATGCACACTTTTCTCACTGAGTACTCTTATGGCGCATTTCCACTGCCGTGCCTCGCTCGGCTTAATACGGTATAGTTAGGCCTTGGTAGGCCAGGCTCACTTTATGCTGCGTTTCCATTACAGTTTAGTAGCTGGGGCAGTAACTATAGTAACGCAGCGTAGGCGGAGCCGTGACGTCATCTTCAATGCGAACCACAAAACCAACATCAGCCGTTAGCTGTTAGCCCTCAGAGCTCACAGCTCCTCATATCTGTTCAGAAACTAGACAGAAGTTAAACAAGTACAAACCACATACTGTCTGTGTCATGGCGAATACAGTCGCTGGTTTATTTATGTCTGTAGGCCGTTGTTGTGAGTGTGGACGGTCGGAGCATATATACCGTTAGCTTAGCAGATCTCCATTCAGAAAACACGCATTTTAAAAGGTTTTCCGCCTGCCGTCTGTCTGCAGACTTGTCAAAGCATTAATTCATGGTTTTTACTAACCGGTATCAGTATGTTGTTACTTCGGCATCATTTAGAAACATGTATTACAATTACATCACGGTAAAATATGTTCATTGTGTTGTAGTTGGAGGCACTCACGTCACTAGTTTAGCATATTCAGCCCGGTTGTTGGCCCGGAAAGAACCACGATTTTGGAGGGCCAGGAAAAACTGTGAACGAGTACCCGTTAGCCGGAACTACCCCTAGTGGAAACGCAACAAAAAACAGGCCGGGTTTGGCACGGCACGCTTAAACCGTGCTACGCGCTGCAGTGGAAATGCTCCATTAGCGCCCAGGCTCCATTAGTGACCTGAAAGTATTCTGATATGCTGTTTTTCTGTTATTTTTTTGGATACGAACCACACATGACTAACTCCATACTCTGTTTTTAATCAAGGGGCCTGGGTGCAAGAGTACTGGCTCAGTGTATTTTAAAGGGAAAAGGGTATAAAGGCATTTAAAGCCTGACCCTACAGTGGAGCTCAGTTTGAACCGTCAGAGCGAACATCAGTCTCTCTCCGTCCTGCTGTTAAAACCCACTTTACAGCAGACAGTTTCCCACAATCATCCAACTCAAATCACACAATGGATCATTTAACAATCACACTTTTACGTTGTCGAATAATAGCTGTTTCTGTAGCCAGGATGCTTGTTCTTATATGTCAGGCAGGACAATATCCTTTGTAATATGTCAACATATCACAGGAATCTTTTTTCGGTACTGTATGGCCGCAATGGGATGCAATAACTTCATAGCTCTTCATAAGGACTGCGTGGAAGCTTGCTGCAGGTTGAACTTCAACACATCTCTAGTTTGGTGCTTTTTTTAGCTTTAGGGTGAGTGTGTGTGACAACATTTCTAGGTCCATTAATTTCTTTAACTACGTTTGCTGCCAATATAGATGTTGAATCAAGAAAAGGCGAGGTTATGTCAGTTCATATTCTGTCTTTTTTTAAAACAGCATCATTTTTGATGTGTGTCTATTTAGGATATCCATTGTGTGGGACATTTTACATTTCAAGAATAAACTTGTATTTAGTTTTAAGCTATCCATGGCTTTAAGAATGGAAATGTGTATGTTGTTCAGCAAGTCCACCACTTTGGTCACGATTCATATTACTCAACAATTAGTGGATGTAATATTCTTGGTCCTCAGATGATAAATCCTCCTGTTCCTCTAGCGCCACAACAAGCTTCAGATCGGTGGATTTTAGCCTAACGTCTATACAAACTATTGAATGGACTGCCATTTGTAACTTGGTACAGCCCATAAGACCACACAAATAATGACAAGCTCCGATGTGTTTAGTGCTAATTAGCAAACATTATCATGCTAACAAGCTGGAACATAGGGTGAACCACACATAATTAAGATAGCATTTTAGCATTATCAGAGTGCCACAGTGACGCGTCCTAAAACCCGGAAGTAAGTTAGCATTTTAACACGTCCGGTTCCTTCGACAAAAAAGCAACGCAATTTCTCCATAGGATTTAGGAAAATATCTGAACTAAGGTCTGTGGTTGAGACACATTGAAGAGACAGATCACGTTTTGTTCTACGACATTAGCAGTGACCCCGCTGGTGATTTCTGAAGAGTTCACGTGTCTGAAAAACGATGGTTGTTAACAAGTGGCTGAATAGGACTACAGAAGTTATCGAGGCCGTCGTACATCATTACACCGAACACGTAAACACTCCTCTGAGTTTGTTTTTCCCCGTGTTCTGCTTGAAAGCAAGTATCTGCCTCCTGCAAGCTGTTCAAACAAACGCTTCAATCGTACAATTTAGAATCTGTATGTTTGAATATGGATCTTACGTTGCGTGACGTTGAAGCAGCGACCCTGCTGTAGTTCCTTTATAGCATAACGTTAGCATTTTGCTTCTGGCGACTAGATTTATGATACATGTGGATATTATCCGGCTGAACAAAACGTGATCCATCTCTCCAATGTGTCTCAACCACAGACCTTATTTCCAGCTATTTTCCAAAATCCTATGGAGAAATAGCTTTTTTGTCGAAGGAACCGGAAGGAGTTTACTTCCGGGTTTTAGGACGCTTCACTGTGGCTCTCTATGTTAGCATGCCACAATACCATACCAGCTCAAAGACGGTCAATTATTTTTGTTAAATTACCTTAAAACACACAGTATCATCACATTTCTTTACTGCAATTTCTTGTGTCCTTTTGGGCAACATATATATACACCACTATTTATCTGCTTAAATTGTGTTTAGCTTTAAACGCTTTAATGACTCAATTTACTGACGAAGACCATGTATAAAACTCGAAGTGAGAGATCATTTTGCCACACATTCTGTAATTTTGATGCATTTGTTGTGCTTGTTTCTTCATCAAGCAAAGACTAAGCCAAGATGAAACAAAACTAGACAGATCGAAAGCAATGAGAATCAGACAAAGTGGGGAACTGCCTTCAGAGAGAGAGACTGCAGCGGCTCGGCACGGCGAAGAATACTGATCCGAACTCCTCTAAGCTAAGATTTCCACATTAATAACAATGATATATTAAAAACACATTCGCGTGTACAGTATATGTGAGCTACTCCTACTTTCCAGAAATATACATATATGCCTTCTGCACACACTGTATTATAGACTTTGCCATATTGTGGGGACAGTAATATGGATACATTCTTTAAAAACACTGAATTACACTCTGAATGATATCTTCCATCAAACCTCCTAACATGTCTTTTACCTCCATTACAATCCCATTTCATTTGGTGCAACTCATCATGAATGCTTTAAAGCAGTAGGGACGGCTCTGGGATTTGCACACTTGACATTGTGAGTTGATGTTTGACACGGTAATTAGGCGTAGAGTTTCACTAGAGGAGAGATAGACCCTGAAATAGAGCGATACATTTAGTTCCTCTGTCAAAGCTCTGGTAAATAAAACCCCAGGGCGCTGCTGTTATACCCTTGAGAGGATTTATTTAAATTCTGTCCCGCTGGAAGTGTTGTTTGGCACACGGTGCACAGGAGCTGTTGTTCATACAATTCGGATTGTTAGAGTTTCTTAAGGAGACACTACAGTGGAAAAATATAATGAATACATGTCATCATGAAACTTCCCCAGTTGATTGCTTCCATTAGGATGATATTTCTTTGTATTACACATTTTCTGATAAGTTTAAATATGCATATGAGGCATTATGTTATTAAATACTTGCATAAATCTAAACCTTGGATAAACCCAGATTTATCCAAGGTTAAAAATCTTTTTTTACAGAGGGATTTTCGGAAAGCTCTTCCAATAATTGTTCCAATTTTCGACATGTTTTCAGGAATTAAAAGCTCAACACATCCGGCTCTGATTGACATATGAACACAGCTTTCAGTAAAAAAGCTTCACAACATAGTCAGGGATGAAAATGGAAAGTTTGGTGTCTGTAAACATTAATAAAGTTACATTATTTTTTGGAAAACAGAAAGATATGTATGGCTTTATACTTTGCAAAACACTACAGGAGAAATTGGTAAAAGTAATTTGAATAGATATCACCATGATCCAGTTCCCACAAATGTCCTGTTTGAATATGCAAAGGAGGATGATGTGATACTAACTTCTTGTTGATTCAGGGGAATCCATAGAATTCATTAAATAAACACCTGGATGTGTATGTCTCTGCTTGCCTAAAAGAAGACAGGTTATGAAAGCAAAAGTAATCCAAAATCCTAAAATTGAGTGCATGATAAAACGTGTTTCTACCTGTAGTGTCTCTCCTTAAGAACGCAAAAACAAAGCCCAATCTCTCCTATCTCTACTTTCCATCTAGACTAATTTATACAGTGAAATCTGTGCACATTGAGACAGGAACCTCCTCTGCCTGAAGTCTTCCAGCAGATCCTCCACAAAGTGTGTCAATACGCTTTAAAGGATGGGTTTTTGTAGGCCAGTGATGCTAAAGGGGCTAAGATCATTCCCTGCATGTTTCAACCCATACCATACGCCCCACTGTCATCAACCCCACAAACAAAACAAGTCAATAATGGATGAGGGCTCTCCTCCTTTCTCCGCTGTCAGTCTGTGGGGAGGCCCTGCAGCGAGAGCTCTTACAAGCCGACGCTTTTTCATTATTCATTCGGTGTGTTTCAACCGAGAGGTGGATCTCTGTTTACTCACCGGCCTTAAAACAACAAGGACTACTGCCACTTCTGCTTACTGTAGTGTTGGAGCTCTTTATTTCCCATCTTACAACCTGCTTTCCTTAACTCAATTTCACTTTCTATACTTCTTTGCAAGGGACTCCCAGCAGACAGAGTTTTGTTTATCAGGCAGTGCAGGTCTCGCTGAGTTTTTTGGGCCGAGAAAAACGAAAATCCTTGTATTTGGGATGGAGGTTTTGCGAGTAGATGATTTGTTACACAGGAAAAGGTCGATACTGGTTACTGAGAGTTTTCACTTTCATCACTGAAGGTTTCGTCTGGGAATAAATTGTCAGTAGGCGTCCTGACTTTGGGAATGTTCCACGATGTAATCCCACTTTAAACTCCCAACAGTGGAGCTGCCTATACAGTGGGTGGCATGTGTGTGTTTGTGTGTGTGTGTGTGTGTGTGCGTGTGTGTGTCTGTGTGTGTGTGTGTGTGTGTGTGTGTGTTTGTGTGTGTGTGTGTGTGTGTGTGTGTGTGTGTGTGTGTGTGTGTGTGTGTCCTAGTCGCGGCTGTGGTTGCGTTTCTTGAAGAAGAAGAACGGCGTCTTCTGAGGAGGGCCCAGCAGAATGGGGACCTGGTTCATGTGGGTGATCTTGATCTGTAAGAATCAGATGGAGAAGGTTAACGTATAGATATGGCAACATTTGTTATTTTCTCATGCAACAAAGAGATGATAAAAATACAAAAATGGAGATGGCAGCGAAACACACATCCTCTCTACTTAAAGATTACAACCAAATTAAAGAACAATAAAAACATAAATAATAATAATAAATTCATTAAAACATTTAATATTTTAATTTAAAAAAACAAAATTAAAACAATTAAAAGCTTAAATAATTTATAAAATACAAAAAAAAAATTAAATAGCTGACATAATTAAGAAAAATAGCACAACATGTCAAGTGTTTTGCTCAAAATAGCAAACAGATCAACCATTCTAGCCATGCCTCATATCCCTCTATTTCACTTCCTGTTTCTAAAGTGCTGATTTGGGGTATAAAGCTTTAAAAAAAATAACAACTGATAAAAAAAGTAGGGGTCTGAGCTCATGCGGGACCCGGCAGCTACTGTCTAAACTAAATGCTGCGGTGATGAAACGCCATATCATGGATTATCAAGGATTATCTCAGAAACAGTATGGAGCTCAAAGGCTTTCTCTCTTGCCGGTTATACCACAAGGTGAGTTCCTTTTTACTTCCTGCTTCTTCACACACATGCTCTCCAGTACAGGTTAGCTCTGAGTGTTAGCGATGCTAATGTAAACACCGACAATATTACGTCCAAAACGTCGGGCATATGATTTCTGATAGCAACGTTTCTGATAGGGAGGGGCCCGCGTCCACATTTTCAGATATTACGTCGAGAGCGGGAGCGGCAAATCTGGATCAGCTCCGCGTGTGTTTCCCCACGTTTTTAGGATTTGGTACGGAGGAAAAGAGAGGGATTCTATTTTATCTGACGCTGCGTGAGTTCAAAAGTGCTTTTTGCATTACCGGATCCCCTTTAAGTTAATGGATTTAAAATATTTTGTACTGCATATATCTTTGACATGATCTTTACTTTAGACCTCCAGAAAGCGATTCTGCGATCGCAGAATGCCGCATAATCCAAATGGCGCAGATTTTTTAAAAGGCCGCATATTTATCAAAAGCTGCATAATCCCCAGCATTTTTTCCACACCAAAGTGAGAAAAAAAAAAGTTAACTCGTCCTTGACGTACGTTCTCAGCCGCGCATCCAGTGTACCACTTGGTGGTGCGTCTGGGCTCCCGATAACAAGAATAGTACTACTTCCATTACTCTTTTACCGAACGACTTATTCTCTAAACAACGGGCAAAAAGTGGAACTTTTGAGAGCCACCGTGCAACTGTGTGTTGGAGCCATAAGGAGAAAAATCGATGGTGGCGACCCACTTTGATTCATTCAAAAACAATTCGAAAATGCTTTCTGCTGCTGCGGACAAGAAACCAAACGCCAACTCACGTTCACGAGGCATCACCCTCCAAAAACGCCTTTCGAGGGCTACAAGAAACCGAAGTGAGTAGCCTAACAAAGTGAAAGCTGGTCAGATAACGAACGAGTAAGATGAAAAACAGAATGAAGGCGGGCGAGAAGTGTGTTTGTGTGTGTGTGTGTGTGTGTGTGTGTGTGTGTCTGTGGTGTGTGTGTGTGTGGTTGTGTGTGTGTGTGTGAGAGAGAGAGAGTGTGATTAAAAAGCCACCGACAATATTACGTCCAAAACAGTCGGGCATTGTTTCTGATAGCAACGTTTCTGATTGGGCCGTGGGTCCACATTTCAGATATTACGTCACATCGGACGCAAATCTGGATCAGCTCCGTTGTATCCCCGTTTTTAGAGATGTGGGTACGGAGGAAAAGAGAGAGGGTTTTATTTTCTGATGCTGCGTGAGTTCCCCGACACACCGGGGACACATGTTTATGTAAAAAAAAAAAGACATCAAAAAGTGCATTTCGCATGATAGGTCCCTTTTAAGTTAAATGGATTATAAAATATTTTGTAACATTATCTTTGACTGCTCGTACTTTGTCAGTGGTTTATAATTAGTTTCTGGTCTATATATTCATGTAGTGTGTTTATATGCATTTCAAATAATTTAGTAATCATTAACAAGTACACAATATAGAATATCAAATGTTATGGTGTGCAAAAACGAACGTAATACAATCATTACACAATAATAATTGTTCTAATAATATGTTAGTTGTTCCCATTGTTTTCACAGTAAAATAACTATTACCTCAAGTATAATTAACTATTGTATACTGTGGTATATTTAACATTTTCCCATGCAATAATGATCACAAAGTGTTTCCCATGGCTGATACAGCAAGTTCTCAGTATCTGTGTTTTCATGAAGTCCTGCTCTTCACCGCAGACTGTGCCATGGCCTTGTAACTAACCTACATAACACAAGAACAAGCTTTTCTATCCTCCGCCTACACTATATATGAAATATTGTGAGGACAAATGCATAATAGTTGCTTTAGTTATTTTCTTTGAAGACAATAGCTGAACTTTATGCAGGTGCTGGACGTCGAGGCTGAGGATGTGCAGAGGAGGAGTGTGAACAAAAGAAGAAAGGAAATAAACCGAGACCTGGACAAAAGGTGAGGAACACTTGGTGCAGCACATAGCATTGGTTATATTGGCTCTCAATAATAAATGGCTGTCCTATGGCATCAAGAGGACCCTGAGAAGACAGAACAAATGTGTTTCTCTGGGACCTACATATTGGTCTCTTTGGTCTTCGAGTATGATTGAGCAGGACTATATTCTATATCCAATCATTGCATGAAGTCATCCACCAGCTGCTGCCATGTTCTTTGAAAACCTTTATTATGATATGTTTTTATTTTATTTTGGGGGAGTGGCTTAAGTAATTTGGGTTTAAGTTTCATACGATAGGGGGTTCAGTATCGCACAATATGAAGTTCAGTATCTTGCAATTAGGGGTGCAGTATCTTGTCTTAAAGCAACTGTTGAGAATCTGCTCTAGTTCTCGTGTGCAGAATAACAATATCTACCTCTAAAAACAGTGTTCTTATGATTTCTAAAAGGGGATTCTACCTGTGTTGTTGTGGTCGTGTTCATGGACCTATGCATCTGAAAATAATTGACTGAACTCTCACCGTGCAGGGGGTCTGTATCCAGGGCTCGCCATCAATCTGCATGGGCAGCCTCCGGGACGTCCTGCAAAGAGAGAGAGAGAGAGAGGGTGATGGGGGGGAGGCAGAGAGAGAGAGAGAGAGAGGGTGAGGTTGTGAAGGTCAGATCACACACACCTCTGAGGCACGAGAGGCCTGTTCACACTGCCCCAGGACAGGGTCACACACTGCACCCTTTGTTCCCATGAGACCCATTCCCAGACAGGCCCCCACTCTTTAAACTCACAGACCCACTGTATGTATGTGTACACACACACACACACACACACACACACACACACACACACACACACACACACACACACACACACACACACACACACACAGTTGGTTTAAGACTTTCATGCATGCCTCTCTGGATAGAGAAACACAGTATGGGAGAATGACTGAGATGAATGCTTTTTTAATTAGAGACTAGGAAAATAGTCGGGTCAGTTTGCACAACAAGTGAAAGAATGACATGTAAACGTTCCTCCCTGTTACAGTACCGGGCTCAATGTAATAGGCTGAGAAGAATAACAAAAACATCTGAAACAAAACCACTTTCTTTGAATAAAAAAAAATGTCAGATCAAAAACTCAACTACTGTCTGTAGCTCAACTCGCCTACTATTGGAGCCTAATATATTTGTTCATTGTATGACTGTACGCTCCAGGACCTCTGGTGGTTGCAGTGATTTTAATTGTTGGAAAAATGATTTTATTGGGTGCGTTATACCGTCACTGACTGTAGCTGTAACTCTTAACCAGCCAGTAGGGGCAGCAAGGGATCAACGATGCAAGAGTACTTTCCGGGATTTTTCAGTAGAAGCTGCTGGGAGTTCCAGCAGCTTCTACTGAAGCCTTCCCCAACTCCGGGGACTTCCGGCCGGGGACTTCGGGTAGCAGTATACGCCGTGAAGTTGTTTGCGGCCTGCCAGTAAACCCAAAGCAGAAGAAGAAGAAGTGACGTCAGCGGCTTCATTTGCCTAATCCTTCCCCAGGAACTGATTCCGGTGTGAACGCGATCTGTACTTAGTTCATCAGAACTAAAGAGTTCTCAGGAACCTTTGTGGGAAAAGTACTGCGGTGTGAATGCGCCTAATAAGAGAAAATGCGTCTGACAATCTCCTGTCCTTTGCTACATGAAAGGGAAACTCTTATCTGGATATTCCCAAGAGTTAATATATCAAAATGTCTCTAAACTGCCTGAATAGTTTAGTTCCTGGCTCAAAACCTGACGACCAAAGAGAAGTTTGGTCTCATTTTATAACATCCGCAGTTTTATTAAATATCAAATATGGGTCCACTTCTCTAGATACATCTAAATATTCTTATTGTATTGAATTTGACCTATTCCATTTCCTGTAAATGTAATAGCTGCATCCTCAAGTGAAGTAGAGACAGCTAAAAATAAGACACCTTAAAGCTGAGTGCTCTTTGTTGAAGCACAAGAGGAAGGAGGATAAGAGAGCCATTACGATGCTGGGTCCGAATCCAAACTCAACACCACAGACGGATCATTTCCCATCCTGTGATTGTGACCTCGCCCTCGCCTCCAGCAGCTCTCTCAGTAAAGCATGCATATATGAAATGTATAATTGATCAGGTACAGGGGCGCGTTATTGTTTAGATGCTGCAGGGATTTCACCGCTTGCACACTCAAAAGGAATACATTTTTGATCATACATGTAGAGAACGGAGATTGTTTCCAGTTGGCTGACCAGCAGAAAGAGAAATGGATGGGAGAGAGAGGAGGAAGATGGAGGATGGATGAACTGTGTGGAGTTACCTGATGGTGACGTTGGCACACTGAGCGAGTCTGCGTCCGGCACTCTTCAGTCCAGTGTAGATCTGTCCCATCTCGATCGCCCCCTCCAGACCAACCACCTCCAGCAGCTGGTCACTGAAGTCTGCAGAGAGATATGTTTAGACACTTTGCATGACCAAATGTAATACAGGTAGAAGGAAAGGTCATTTTTTGCACTGTAAAGCATATTTTCACAGATGTTTATCCCACATCTGATGCGGATATGCTTATCACACACACGGCAGTAACACAGCAGCATTACCAATCATTCGGAGATGTTTAGTTGTTGTTTATGTTGGCTATGGGTCCAACTGATGAATGTAAATCCAATATTCAATCTCTTTTTGACCTCCCCACCTTCAAAAAACTGACCATAACTCGCCTCTTCAGACTAGCTTTTAATGTGTGATTAATGTTGTGTCCTTGTTTTAAATATTGTTTTATTGCTCGATTTTAATTTGACCTTACATCTTATTTTTATGTAAAGAGACTTTGATCACCTGATAAAGTGCTTCATAAATGCAATGTATTAATATGATCTTTTTAGCTCGGTTTTTGGTCTCTACCAATTTGTATGTTTGTATACAATGGTAGGTTTTGATATCTAATGAAAATATAACTGTCATTGCTTGTGGTTTACAAAACACTGTAATGCAGAACCTGTTAGGCAACAAATGTACTTTGCTAGATTTAAGCTTGTGGTTTGGGTTAAAACGACAAGGTGTTACTTAAGTACGGAAGTTACACAACAAACGGGACAACGTTCAGTTCTGGTTTCACAGGGGAACGTCTTATGAACGATATTAGTGCATTACTTTTTTGTATGTATAAGTAAGAACAGTCTATTGGCCTGTTCCCTGACAACAAGAGAAATTAAATGATAAGAGCAGTGAAAGTCAATCGAATAGTAAAGTTGGGTTAAAATTTGCTATGAAAATATTGATTTCAGGCTCTGAAATGCAGAGGGCAGATAACTGTCATAGAAACAAGCCTTTTTAATCCAAAAAATACACACTTCTTTTAGATAGCACCTCAACACATTGTACGTGATAGGCTAAGGGGCGGGACATCTCTAAGCTGTTGACCAATCACAACAGATTCGGCCAGCTAACCAATCAGAGCAGACTGGGCTGTGGTTTGAGACAGAGGGTGAAAAGAGGTGCTGCAGCACAGGCAGTATGAGAACAATAAAGAGCTTTTTGAACATTAAAGCATGGAGACATGTCCCAGTAGAGACACTACATACTGATATACACCTGAACATCAGCAGGAGAGGACTCTTTAAAGTAGAGACACTACATACTGATATACACCTGAACATCAGCAGGAGAGGACTCTTTAAAGTAGAGACACTACATACTGATATACACCTGAACATCAGCAGGAGAGGACTCTTTAAAGTAGAGACACTACATACTGATATACACCTGAACATCAGCAGGAGAGGACTCTT